ATGACTGAGTGAGATGATTAATAATGAAGATAAAAAAGCAACCTCCATGCTGGCTAAGTAGGCACCCAGGATAAAAATAGCTATAGTAGTTGTGGCAGCTGTTCCTAAATGTACTTCTGGAGCATCATATATGGATAGACAATCCATGCTGATTTTTATCTATTACCTAAAGACTATCAATATAGCAGAGTTATCCTACCTTGGGTTGCACATGAAATCAAGTCTAAATTGGTTGAGTCATGTAAACTCCATGTGTAGGATTTATGCATCTTTTATGCATTTGCAGAAGCATTCTCCCATTCTTTCTCATTCTAATATGCTACTTGTGTGTTGTTTTCCATCTCAAACACTCTTGTGTTTGAGATGGAAAAATATCAGAAAAACACAGAGTGTGTTTTTCTGAATGACTTACCTTTTTGGATAAGATTGGCTATGTCTCTACTGCACATTTACTTTTGAAACACCATATACATAAATATTATATCCTCAGCTTTCCTGGCCTTTTTTGCACCATCTCATCCCCCATATCAATTGGAGTAGCCTCTGTGAATTTAATTCTAAATGTCATTTATTCATTTGAAACTTGCTGCAGGTCAGAAATACTTCTTAAATGCTTCTAAATCAATAACTTCAATAAATATGGATTATCCTGGGAATTACAATTCTCGTCAGCAATCCTATAAAATGTCAGTGCCTTTTCAGCCACCATCAGATCTTCTCTGCTTTCTCATCCTGTTTATACATTTTTTTAACTTGAAGAGATTGATATTCAAGTGAGTGATTCAAACATGATGTGATCTCAAGAGACAAAGGCCAATTTAAAGGGACCTGATTCTTAGAGTGTCAAAATATGGCAGTCTTAATAAAATTAGATCCTTTTGGCCAATTACTGGCTGGATATTGATCAGTTTCAAGATTTACTTAGAGGCATAGTCTCACCCTGTTTCCATGTGTTCTAGTAACCCAGGTGGCATATTTTTCATCATAACTGATGCCTAGGCCTAGGTCTCATCTTGCTATGACTGGCTGTTGCAGGTTGAAGGTCATCCAGGCATTAAAACGAGATTCTATACTGCATTTTGAAAATGACAATTGTCACTCGTCCTGCTGCAACAAATGAGAAGAAGCCTCTCAGTGATGCATCTCTGGCATTAGGTTTAGAACCTCTTGTGGAGAATGAGAAGAATGAGAAAAGCAATGAGGTGAGCTCTGATGAGGTGCTTTCTCAACTTCTTTGGTGAATCTACCAGAGCAGAGCCAATTTTTCTTCAGTTTTCTCACAGAAGCTTCCCTTATTTACTGCTGGTAAGCTCCACTTTTGGCCTAATTTCATAATATTTCCTTTTCATAGGTCAACATGGGAGGAGATGAATTTGATTGTATGAATGAGGCTGGTCTGCCTAACATCCATTTTCACAATGCAAGACGAGCACGGCAAGCCTCAACTTTGAATTATCTCTTCATTCTCCTCCTTATCATCATAGTCATGGTCACAGCCATGATTGGAGGCTTCTACTTTGTCAAGGAGTTCTCTCGTGCTAAGGTCAGTTATCCTATTCACTCAGCAATTCTCATGAAGACTTCTGCTTCTTGATTGTGGGACTTATCATTTCAGAGATACCATGGATGGTGCAGAGTGCCCTATGATCGTCTCACAACTGGGAAGGAACCTGGTGATCTTCAGCTTGGCTCATTCCAGGCTCGTGTGAGTCTAATTATATGTTATATTGAGACCTTCATTTTTCTAAAAGTGAGATGAAAGGGGGAAAATTTGTTCTAAGTTGCAATAAGAAGTTCAGGAATGGGAAAAGAAAAAGAGGTATACATGAGAGATGTATAGAGCAGCACCCAAGGTTTTCAGATGGAGGAGTACAAAGGCTATTGCCATATTGTACCAGGAAGCACATCTTTGTTTTCTTTTTTCTTTTTTCAGTAGCTTTTCTTGGCTAACATTCAGAATTCCATATTTTTATTTTCTTTATCACATAGACCTGTGATATGTTTGAAAATCTTGAAGCTGTTACATGGAAAAGTTTCATTTTTGCTTGAGTTGCTTATAAGTTATGAAGCAAAAATTTTTTACACTTCATGAATTTCATCATTTGTTCATTTTGTGTGTAGTCAAAATTGACAAATGCTGAGGTATTTGAATGTCCGTGACTGTGATTGATGATAATTCTTTACTTGGATTCCTGGAATTCTACAGTTGCTATTTGAAAGATGTATGGATTTTAATAGGTTCCAACTTGCTAGGTTAGGCAATTTGGGTTGCTTTTGGACAGCAAAACCATGGAGTTCCAAAAGGCCTTTCATTTATTTCAGCAATGCATCATTCTTTCCTCAGCAAAACTTGCATTCAGGTACATTAAGCATGCATTTATTAATTTCAGGCCTAAGCAAGCAGAATGTTTTTAATAATGAGAACTCTTTTGCATCTTTCAGTATGTTCTTACTTATCTTCATCTGCCTCTGATTTATTCTCTTCTCTTCTTCCTTGATTCTTTCAGAAGGCAATGGCTGTCAAGATCTTTTGTTTACTTATCTCCCTTCTTTCTTTTGTAACAGGATACCATCACTGCAAACAAGCACGTTTATTTGTTGTGATTGTGTGGCAGTCATTGAGTTTGTAGGCCAGCTATAGGCCATAAGGCATAGGCTTAAGCAAACCTATGAACTAAATTGCTAAGGCAGACATTGAATTTGCAAAGGGTACATGAGAAAGGGCCATGGCATATATTAGGAATACTAGGTGGAGGGTATTGGTGAAAGAAGATGCAATCTATTGAGCTGGCACTGACAACTTCCATTCTTCTCATAATGTTTGCTCCAAATGGCCTCAGCTTACCCTAAGGAAAATAAATGACTGCTGAGTGATCTCAAATTGAAATCCAATTCAGAGAAGCTGTTTCATAAATTAGGTTGTTACCATATTTTTATAATGTCTCATTCAGGAGGATTCAGATGGAGGGGATTGGATTGACCATCAGCTGATGATGGGTAATCCACCTCTCTTCTACCTGGAACATTTAGACGTGGACATTGAAGAGAAGCCAGACTATGAGGAGATTGAGGTCCCTGACTTCTCTGGCAGACGACGTGGAAAGTTCCTGCATGATTTTATGCGCGTGTGTTCTCTGCTATACTTACTTCCCTTTCCTCCCAATGGTTTTAGATCCTCATTTATACTGCTGCTTTTCAACTCTTGTGTAGAATTTGACAGGGATTGTGGATATTGATGGTGGGAATTGCTTTGTGATGCCTTTGGATCGAGAACACATACTCCCTCCAACCTCCATGCTGGATCTGGCTCTCAAGATGGAACATGGCTACTATGATGTAGACACAAAGGTCTATTTTTTTTATACTTTGGCTTTTCTTCTTTAATTATACAGTTGATAAATGAATTCATGGGGTTCTAAATATTTCATTTTTCCTTGCATTAGCTAATATGATGAATAGTAGATGTGAACATAAATGTGATTCACTAAACATTATGCCAGTGGGTGCAGTTCTGATCCTAGTCTAATGGTTTTAGGTGGTCCGAGAGACAACACGCATAGTGTTCCCTGCTATCAAAGACCCGAATATCATGGGTCCCTACATCTCGAGCGCCTGCCAGGACAAACCCATGTATCGTCTGGAAAAAGTATCTGAAAGTATGTGTGCTTCTCTCCTCTTTTGCCAAATCCTGCCCCCAATATACGTGGGTCATCCCAAAAGTTCGAGAACAAATGTGAATATTTTCTTTGTATGTGATCTGGCAGCAATGGTCTTATTATAGTGTTCATATTGAGGTCTCATGGTGCTAACATAGGAATGCTCATGTAACTGCTCCTTCCCTTTGCAAAGATATCGCATTTTTAAGTAGACCTACATTTTACCACTATGTAAGAAGATGATCAGGTCCAGCGAGGTGGGACTTGGTTTCTGTGGAAACAGAAAAAGTCTCAGGTCATGAGCTGCAAGAAGTTTTGAGGGACAGACCTTTCAGGAAAAGTGCCATAAATAAGTGGATGCATCACTTTGAAGCAGAATGGATTCCAGTGGATGATTCGCCAAGGGTGACCTGACCTTGGCCCATGCTTGGAGCATGCTCCCGCTGTGAACCAGTGGGTTCAAGTGACCCCAGCAAACTGGTTTGCTGAAAGACTCAAGAAGCTGATAGAACTGTAGCAGAAGTGTGTGCAGCTGCACAGGAAGTATATTGAGAAAGTACACTTGGAATAATGCTGCATTTGGTATTTCAACTTGATGTAGAACAAAATGTTCTCGAACTTTTGGGATGACCCATGTATTTCCCCCTTGCCTTAGATTCCTCCCGTCAGGTGAGGTAAGGTCAGAAAGTCAGTTTAATCATGTCCCTCCTTGCCTGTATAAGCCTGCTATAGCCCCTGGCAGGAATCAACTAGGATGTATTTTTCAAAGCTTGTTAGTATAGGGAGTAATGAAAAACGATTAAACTTCATCATGTGCATCATTTGATTGCCAAAGTACAGCACAAATTTTAGTTAATTATTCTTGGCAGCCTGTTTCATTAAGTTGTAGGCTGCCTCTTACTTTTCAGACTTTTGGAGGATTTTCAGAAAGCAATGATTTACAAGCTCTTATATACTGTATTTTCAGGACATTAGTTGTGATAATCATCAGTCATCTGAGGAGAGCAGTTTTTGGTGAGAAATAATTATTGGGGACTGATATTTGTGCATCAACATCATGTTGATGCCTATGTCATTCACAGGAAACTCTTGACATTGATTAATTTATATAATAATCATTCATCATGATTCATGACTGTTTCCCAATGGTCATGGATGAGTAGTTTTTTTTTAATTCCTATGATTTCCTTCATTTCCCTAAAGCAATCAATAAAATCATATTTCTTTTGATGCCTTCTAAGCTCAAACTGAAAGCGAGTTTGAGAAGCCTATTTTTTTTTATAAATATAATGTAATATAGCATCTTTGGTACTGTACATGCCAAAGCATCTCTCTTAAGATGGTGATGCAATGTAGTTTAATTTGGAAATTCTCATTTAAAGTTATTGTCTGATGATCATTTAGTTTGTCGTTCTGCTACTTCTTGAGCTTCTTGATTCAAAGATGGCTTAAAATACTGCATTATTTAATAACAATCCAATAATGAAAAAGTGATAATGCTGATGTTCCAAGAAAATCTTGCTTGCTGATGGTGTATCATACCATGGGATTCTCAGACATGAATGCAGGTGATGGTTCATTCTTAACATTTTTGTGGCAGTGTTCCGTGTTCGTCGTGATGCTGCTGGGCTGGCCCCTTCCACCTTTGCTGAGTTTGCTGGGTCCAGCACCATTGAACTGGATATCCTCAACTATGACCAACTGTAATGGTCTCTGCCTCCCCCCCTCCTGCGAAGAATCTTTCGATCTCGTTGTACCCTCTTCAACTGTATATATTGGTCATGTTTTGCTATCCATTGTGAACATCCCCTATATCTCGAATGGATTTTGTGTGTCGCTCCAGATGGTATGTCTCCCTGAGACAAGATATGTGATAGAGGAAGCGCTCCCCAGCATAGAGTGATGACAGACTAATCGTCTCATTGATGAAGTACTTGTCGTATTGCTCTTACCTCGCTTGCTTGGTTTTATTATAAAGATTGCTTTTCTTTTTCTTACATTCCGCCTCCTCTTCTTATCCTTCATTGTGTCCTTCATAGTCCAATCCAGTCTCAGTCTTGGGCAAATAAAGGAGTTTTGCCTCCACAAGTACAAGATCTGTTCAACTAGTACTGATCACTGCAGCACAGCATCTTCGTTTTTCCAGGAGCAGCATTGTACTACTTAGTACTTTAATAGCTTTTTGTCTACTATGTGGATGAAATTTCAGCTTTTCATCTATTGTCATCAATCATTTACTCACTTTATGGTTGGATATTCTTAATAAATATAGCCTATTTTTCTAAAGAGGAACACAAGGCTGTTAGACTTTCTACTCATAAAGTGATAGTGCTGCTAGAATACATATGCTGTCTGAAAAAGTCTCTGAATGATTGCCTTTCCACTAAGCATGATTGAAAAATTGCTGCACCCACCAGGTGCAGCAATTTTTTAAGTGACTACCTTTCATTCCTCTTTTGAAAAATTACCAATATTTGATCAATTGATGCCATCAACTGTACTTCAGAAGTCCGTGAAAATTTATTCACATCAGATATAAAGCTGAAACAGCTATTAAAGCTCCCAGTGCTACTATTGGAAAGATGGAGTGATCACTTTTTGAATGCACCTAGCACTCTAACTTGTCATTCCATGAATTTGCTGGTGACTAGAGAAATATATTTTCTGAGAGGCTTCACAGTTGGAAGTGAAAGCTAAGTCCTTTTCAGGCTGTGTCGCTCGTTATGGCTACAAAAATCCTAAAACGGCCTGAACCATTTTAGGGTTTATACATTTAGATGCATTCCTTCTAACAATCCTTTGCTGTGACGGTAAGATGGGAAAAATGGAAGAAGTGAAGAAAAAAATAATAATAATATAAAAGTCCAACACAAGGTTGATGGTTGATTCAACTGGTAAAGACCGTTTTGTCAGCTAATATGGAGTTATTGCTATCACTTTTGCAACAGCAACAGCCATATTTAACTTGAAGATCCCCCAGGAGTTAGGGCCGTAAATATGAGAGGGCAAGGGAGGCACTAGAGGAGTGCAACCTAGTGGGCGGGTGAGGAAAAGACCTGAAAGAAAAAGCATGGCTAATGAAAAAAATAAAAAGTTAATTCCCATGAACAAAATGCAAAAAGGGCGGGTGGAGTCATACACTCCTTTCGTGATTGTACTCTGGGTTCTGACTTCTGAGTGGCTTACTCTCCGGGGGAGCCCCCTATAGCCGTTCTGATAAAATCCCAAGTAGCAATTTAAAAAATCCATTAATCATCCACTGGATGACTAAATGTCTCGTCCAGCGATTATACTTAGACTTACCCATCGGATGGTCTATTGAATGACCGTGAAGACATCCCCCTATATTAATCCCCTGCCTGTAATGGAGCATCCTCCATACGTCCGCTGGATGTACTTCAAAATTTTCTTGGTACAAACTTTGCATGCACATGAATATTCATGGCACTCCGAAGGGCAAGAGAGGCGTTGCCCGTAGATTTTCAAATCTCGCAGTTCGGAAACGTGGTCATCCGTTCTAGTACCTTGGGGAAACTGAAACAGAAGAACTAAGATAGTAGATAAGAGAACTCTTGATGCATAGTTCTCTCACTATCCGTCCTAGCTCCGAAGCCAAGGAAGTGTGTTCCTCATCGCCCCCGGGCGACCCGAGATCAAAGATTAACCCGCAACTCCATCCGACAAGGTGAATACTACTCTCTCCATCCACTGCGCAAGAATTGCCTGGAGTCTTCTTGAGCTGGGTTAGGTCTCTATAAAAATGCATTAATTACAACTACTTTCTTCCTTCTACTTGTACGTGAGAAAATATAAAATACAAGCGTACCTTGAGCATATTATACAAAATTGAAGCCTCTGTGGAACCATCCAGGAGTATCGGGGGAATAAAGACACGTACAGCGGCGAATTCAGCTTGACCTCGCGTATGTTGTTGGAACTTTATTTTTGTTTAATGAACTGCTAGACGTCAGGCCAGATGGAAGCCCGTTTCAATCTGGTCCATCCAAGGGCATCCAATGATGAAGTAAGAAGATGTCCATTGGACGTCCAACGACGGAGCTAACCCATCCTTTCTTTCAAATTTTGACTATTGTAAATGAAATCAATGCACTGATCCAATTATAATACCACACTATTGATATAATGGTTGAAGTTACGGGGTTTCAGAGAGATTTGAATAATAATAAAAAAAACTCTTGAAATCACACTGTCAGATGCTCATGTCGCCATTCTATAAAACCGTTATTCAATCAAATTGAAAAATGATTGAGGGTAAGATGTAGGGGAATCTTATCCAGATAAATATCCGAACCAATGATAATATCGAATCGATCCATGATGATGACATCCTATGAATATCCATAGGATGACAGCTTCTGGACTTTCATAAATATCTGGACCACTGGACTGTCCACGGGCGAGTTTCGGATCATCCATGGCGACTTAGTGTGTGTAGTGGGTGGCCCGAAGAGGAATTTTTTTTAAAACCATTAGTGCAGCCAGGGGGAAGTTAGGGAGAAATCTACGGAAAATGTCATTTGATGAAATCCTGGCTATCCTACTTCTTGCGAACGCCTATCGGCGAACGTGCGGGGGGGGCGTGAGTGCCCCCCATGATTGTAGCAGACATATATAGTGTGTTTAAAAATGAATGCTCATCTAATTTTCTATGGGGATAAATAAAACTCATTTCAATGGGTGAAAAATCATACCAAGGCTTTATTCTGAGTGCTATCTACTTTCTTAAAATTTAAACATCTTGAGAAGAAAGCTGAGAAGGCCCAATCTGACTCGAATTTTGACCTGAGCTGTAAATCATTATGATGTGGGATTTGCCTTTCTATCCCAGATTCACCTCAAAATAATAAAGATTGGTTAAACCTATATGTGAATTATACGAATTTGATGGGAGATTTTGTTGTGTACAATGCTTCAAATCTTTTGGCTCATTATTCTTCTATTTGGATGCTGAGCAAAACCTGTATCAACCATTGCGAAGCCAGTATTGCATCTGAACTTTTGGAGTACTGCACGTGCCCCATCCTCTTCCAACCAATGAACTTGCGCAGCCTACTGTTCTTCCAAGAAGCATAGTGTGGGCGTTCCTGACGTGTCCGTATGTGGGTGCTGTTACTTACTATCTGACTCCAATTACGATGATAGTACCGGTGAGATCCGTAATGAAATACAAGATGGTTCAACCACAGGAACAAGAGTATATTAACAAGACAAAGATAACTGACCAGAGATAGAAGGGTTCACCCGGGTGACAGAGAAAATTATATCCACACGTACATACACGGAACCACTGAATGGAACAGACTGCCTGGGTTCTTAAGTCTCCGGGGCGTCGAAGAAATTCCTCCCCAGATAGGGGCAGTCTCTCGGAGTTGGGAGGTGGAGGGGAGGAGGTGACTCCTCCCCCTCATATCTGCTGGCCACCCCCTGAGGTCCACAATAGAATTCAAGAACATTCATGGTTAATTTATTTTCTAGTTACTGCAGAGGAGTTATCTATCTATACTATTATATTTCATTGTGCTTGTGTGTCTCTCCTTTATGCACGGCCACGCCTCTGATCCCAGTCCGACCAAACTTTGCATGGCTTCTTCATTTGTTTCGGGGATGGTCATAGGCTAGGTAGCGCTTCAAAATTCGGACCCTCCGCGGTACCTTATTTCGTGCAGATTTGACCGATTCACTACTACAGACCCCACACTACTACAGACCAGGAATCAAAATTTTGGGGGCTCGTTAAAAAAATTTAAGTTGTAACATGCAACTTGCTACTGGAATTTTCCAATAGGTTGTGTAGTAAAAGCTACATATTAAAAAAAAAAAATTATAGCCGGGTTTGCCAAAGAGGCATTAAAACAATATTAAACCCTCAAATATGGGACGTATACAATACTAGCAAGTTTGTTTGCCCTTCGGTCAAACAAACTCGCTATTGTCGCGCCTTCGGCGCTCCATTCCCAGGATAGTGATTCATTCAATAATTTATTTTCAAAGTGGCAAAAATGTATTAAAAGTATGTGCCCTTCGGAATGTGTATCGAGGGAGAACAAACCGATATTTTCATCGGAATAATTACTCCCATTGCTTCTTGTGTGCCTAAATTCAAATTTCTTCATAACCTGCCCTGAGGGGGCATATTTGAACAGTAGGACAGTAGGACAAATTTCTTTTGTTCTCTCCTTCATTGAATCAGAAAAGTATCCGGAAAATGCACCTTTTGGAAAAAATATGCCTTCAAGGGGTTTACCTAAAAATTAACATTTTTTCTGAAATTAGTATTCGGAAAACTACGTGCATGCCAAGTTTCAGTCTTATCCGTTTGCTCTTTTTGCTGGTGCAAAAATATCTTTGGAAAAAGCCAACACAGCCAAACGCTGTGCTCTGGGGTATGCACCACAAAACCTGAATTATTTTTGAACTCACCATCCCCTCAGTTATTGCTGTGCCAAGTTTTAAATTTCTACCTCTCTACAATTCAGTGGACAAAAAAAAAAATTATTTGAAAACGTCACCCCGCAAAAGTATGCCCCAGTGCATACATCTGGAACTTGACATTTTTCCTGAACTTTGTGTCTCGGTAGGTACGTCCATGCCAAGTTTCAGCTTTCCATGTCTCTCCGTTTGACTGAAGCAAATATATTTACCATTGAAAACATTTCCCCCAAAATGGGTGCCCCCAGGGTATGTACCTCCAAAGTCGGATTTTTTTCTGAACTCTGCATCCCAAAAGGTACATGTGTACCAAATTTCAGTTTTCTAACTTCTCTAGAACATGGTTAGAATTAGCGTCAGTCAGTCACTCAGTCATTCACGATCGTCCATATATTCACCCATGCAACGCCGAGTACCTCTGCTAGTAAGATATAAAATAATAGACTTCGATTTGAAATTCGGAATATTCCATTAAGTTAGAAGTTAGAAAGACTCGAGTTGGGTTTTATATTCCAAATAAAGATCCAGATTATTCTAATTATGCTAATTTATAATTTGGAATTTAAATGCTTGGAGATTAATTCATTAAATTCTGAATTCATAATTTCAAAGGATTGGGGATTCAGATTAAATTATAATTTCATTTTTTTTTTAAGTCAGACTCTGATATTTCTGGAAGAAGGAGAACCTCAGAAATTACGATGGTCTTCGCACAACGCCAAGATGATCCCCTTGCTGTTGGACACATTTTTGCGATAAACTCTGATTAGGGTCCTGTGCTGAAGCGAAGAAGTAAGGATGTCACACGACCACTAAATCTCCATTGCAAAAAGAGGTACCAAGAATATCAACTGACATGTCCAGAATGAAAGGTTTGTAAATATATGACGGACAGAGGTGAGGTCGCTTGGGTTGCGACCGATAAGAGTCAATACCATCCGTGACGATTTCTTCATGAAATAACGAAAAGGAGGAAACCCCCACCCCGCCTTCCCCACCTACCACCACTCCATGTCCTATCACCTTTTTCATTTTTCGTCTGGGGTAAAAACTTGGCACAGCAATAACTGAGGGGATGGTGAGTTCAAAAATAATTCAGGTTTTGTGGTGCATACCCCAGAGCACAGCGTTTGGCTGTGTTGGCTTTTTCCAAAGATATTTTTAGGTGGGCGGTGGGGGGGGGGGGGGGGGGGGGGGGGGGGGGGGCATTCACCTCCCCGTGGATCCGCCACTGCTTTGTTGCCCGTAAAGTTTTCTCTCGGCACCCTTGCTCCTTTGCTCAGCGTCCCCACTTGCCTGGGCAACCCCCTTCCCGCTGCTCTCAGTTTCCCTTTTGCTCTCGAGACAAAATACTCCACCGCTATTGTGGTTCAACTTCCAAGTTGACTCCATGGGAGAATTACATAATAGTGATCATTTTCAAATGGGAGATACTCAGTACGGGGTATGTCTAACCTCTTCCGTTGGGAGAGGTTCAGATGTGATGGAAATTTCCATTCACTGAAACTTTCGATACGCGACTCTAGAGCAGGAAAATAACTTTTCATCTAATAGAAATATCAGGTAAACGTGGAAGAATTGTGCTCCGCATGAAGAGATGGGAAAACAATCATCCTATTCGAAGAAATGTAGTGCTCCCAATCGGCTACGTGGTCGCCTATGGCCCTTCTCATGGGAGCAGGGCTGAACTTAATGCAATTTAAATGATGGAAAGATAGTTTCCAAGATGTTATTGCATCTTGGATGAATCCTGAAAGAGAAAGTTATTTGAACCTTTTTGGTACTGTTTGGGAACATTCAATTCACGTCCCTAATGAACGCATAATTTGAATTGTTTTTGATCGCGCTAAATTTCGGAAATTTAAATCAATGTGACCACCCCACCTCCACATTCAGCAGGCCTTGCCAACATTCGGGCAATGTTGGGCCAATGTTTCATGCTATATGCTTTGTGATGTTGAGAACTACCCTAGGAATTTGGAATGCATGTGGAATTGCACCATGATTCTTTCTGTAAGAAACTGTCATTGTAGCATATAGTTAAGAAGCGCTTTTATTTGTACTGTCCTTTGTACTGTGTATTGTATTTTGACTAGGTCACTAACATTTGTGTCATGTCAAATGGTTCCGTTCGTTAAATAATTTTTGTATCGCGTCAAAAAGGCCTCAAGTGCTCAAGATGATGTTGCCAAAACTTTCTCGCAGGCTTCTACTGAAGAAAGGCAATAATGTCGAAGAATTGTCGTTAAGCATTTTCCATTAAAATATCACTGCATGCCGTCATATGCCAAGGCTCTGTTGTTGTACCAGGCAAAGGCAAAAAGGTGGGGGGCAATGTTGACGTCTAGACAGTAAGCAACTAGGATAGTAAGAAAAAAAAAAAGAATATATATATATATATTTAGCTTTAAGAGGGTTAGGCCTACCCTAAAATTAAGGAACGCTCGNTTAGGCCTACCCTAAAATTAAGGAACGCTCGACCTCGAAACGTGATATCGAAATGGGCGAAATCGCCTCTTGATGTCATTAACTATCTTGACTTGACTCTTGACTACCACTTTTCTTTTACGTTTCATATGGCAACACTGTCAGTTACCATGCAGTTACATAGCCAGAAATGGCTCTCATGTGTTCATCATGTACTTGATGCACCTTCGCTCCGGGCTCCTCGGACCAATGTTGTCGAAAAACTTGCATTGAAAATGGGTCTGCTGCAGGAAGACTGGGGCCTCTGACTCTTAATTTATTACTTGCTGTGAACGCAGAAAGATTCTGTGCGCGATGTTGATTGTATCATGTGTCAGTTCTACCTTTAATGAGTTCCATAGGCTCCTTGGAACTGTACAGGACCGAATCATGACGTTAGGCCTAAGTCTGTATCTTTACGTGCTACCTGGACCTAACCCAAATTAGTCTTCAATTTTCTCACTTTTTCCGTGCCTTAGAAAGGAGCTTGTGCTATGAATGTTCAATGAATGAATGTATGTCTTATTGCCCACGTGACTCGTACATACAGGGACTTAACTGAGAATAGTTTTTCGGAGGAGAGGCGGAATTAAAGTATCAAAACATACATCAGGAAGGGGGAGAACAACACATATAAGGGGGGGTAGGGGTGGAACGAAGCAAGATATTGGGAAGTGGTAAGAACAAAACATACATTGGGTAGTAAGAAAATCCTAATATAAATGGGGGAATAGGAAGAATGAAACAAATCAATGTATGGTGTATACAGAGGAAGGAAAAAAAAGATGGGACTTAGGGGTATTAGTGGAGCACTCAAGGCATGTGTTGTGATATAAGGTGACCTCTGAGGTCAGTTTCAAATCTAGATAGTGTGGGGAAGTATCTTATATAATCTAGAGTGGGGAATGAAATTCCTTGATGCCTTGGTACCTGAGGCTTTTCTTAAAAATTGTTATGGGGGCTTGTGGGAGAAATGCTTTTGTGTATGAGGTGGAGCAGAGGTAATGAGTGAATATTCTAGGAAGAGAGAGACATGAAAGATTGCTAGGAGCAGCCCACAGATTTTTTAGATGAGATAAGATAGGTATATGTGAGATGAGGTAAGATGAGAGATCTTCAGTATATAGCTATTTGTTATGAATGAATAAGGGGGAGGGTGGGAATAAACAGGTAGTACAGAGATAATGTGGTGGTAGAAAAGAGCATAATAGATTTGTAGATGAATACAGGAGGGATGCTGCACTTGTTTAGCCAAATGTAGTCAATAGATTATCGAGGAAATCTTGCATTGAAGATTAGGGATGTGATAAGTATGGTTCAGGTGAGGTCCAAGGTCAGCCATGGTAGTGTGAATGTGTATACTTGTTCAATTGATGCTTTACTGATGGATAGCATAGGAGAGTTTGTGTTCTGTAAACGAGAGATGATGGCAGGATCTGTATTAAGGTTTGGAGTTGAGAGATTAGGGTCATATCATCTGCTTAGAAGATCAATTGTGCACTTAGTGGCAGCTAGTGGAAGATCATTGATGCATATGATAAATAAGAGTGTCCCAAATGGAACCTTGGGGCACACCAAGGGGGAGATTAACTCCTTCAGTGACAGGTTTTCTGACAGCTATGAGAGAAGCCTGAGAATTCCTTGGGCTTACTGCTGAAGGGGCTATGTTGGACTATTTAGAGGATTCCCAATTTAATGAATTGAAAATGGTAACAGGTAGCTTTTGAAAAATGCTACTGCAAACGGGAAAAAATTTGAGATAATTTGGAGAGAATGTCATGGGAGACTGAATCAAAGGCTTTTGAAAGGTTAAGGAATAGTACAACAATCAGGTTTCCACTGTCCACATTTGTCAGCACCGCATCACAGAATTTGATGAGTGCTGCCTCTCATGAATGGTGGGGTCTGAAGCCTGATTGGTTAGGATGAAGGAGGTTCAAGTCAGACAGGAAGGAATAGGTGCTACTGGCAACATATGCTCAAGTATTTTTTAGACCATTGCAAGAACAGAGATTTTGATATATACAGGGTGTCCCATTTATCGCGGACAATTTTAATTGTGTATAAAATTATTCCTACTTGAGCAAACTAAACTAAATTTTTGCAATATTTAGATGTCTGTTTAACATTTATTGTGACAAAGTTTCAGCCAAAACCTCCACCCCAAGGGGTCTGCTGAAGGGGTATTAAAATTGAAGCAAATGCTCTGATGAATTTTCTAACCTTGAAGGAGTCTATTTCTTTTTAGCCAGACCCCTTGGTAGCTTATTGAAAAAATTTCGTAGAAGCTTTCTATCATTGACAAATAAATTTAAATAATAAATTCATCATCAAAGACATCTGTCTTTATATGAAAAATATGAATGGTTTATTATAGCTGGAAGTGCCTCAGGCTGGAGACTTTTTGAACACCCCTTGGGGGGTAAGGCTATCTTAATTTTCAATAGATTTTGGCTTGAATCCACAACTAGCCTGAAGGAGAAATCACTGATCTTCATTGGTGGATGTTCAGAGGCAGGGGGTATGCCCTGATATGACTTGAACATACGGGGTGGCGCACTTAAAAGTAACCTGTATCACTCACCTATAGGAGATGCTGGAAGTCCCCCCCCTCCACATCCAGACATTGCTGAGCACATTTCAGGCAGTTCATTGCCATGGACTTGAGTTCCTTCTCTTGAATGGCTGCCATTTCTGCTTGGATGTTTGCTTCCAACTCGGTAAGTGTGTGAGGGTTGTTACGGGCTACTTTTAAGTGCGCCATCCTCTATTAGAAGTATTGTGTACACCCTATGCTAGTCACTGTCTTGAGAACTTTCCATCAAGATGTTTGGTATCAGTATGGTTGCATCACATAGATCACATGACTTGAGTGAGCTCAAGATATTGGCTGAAGTTTTTGTATTTTGCCCCTCTACATCTTTTCATGTGACTCTAGCATGTCGTATGCAGGCTGAGCTTCCAATTCCCATCTTCATACAGTAGTTTCACTGTAGTATGAAAACTAATTGGGCTCAAGTAGACAAGTGTTGTATGTAACTGAGAGGCACTACAGCAAGAACTTCCCTTTTTACTTCCAAAATGTCATCCCTTCTCTGTGATTGATGGGACGTTTGTGTGTCCTTAGCTAAGTGCTGTAATCTGCTGTTCCCTAGCCTAGAGGCACAAGGAAGTTTGCTTAGTTTTGTTTCATGAGCTTAGGTGCTTCATTGACATGAACATGGGACATAGTTAACTCCTTCTTGTCTTGCATTTTCTCACTGATGGGCAGATCTGTATAAAGCTTGAGAGAGCTTGATGAGGCTGGCCTGGGCAGTGCATAGCCAGGCTTCGGTGATATGATCTCCTATGTCAGATTCAATTGATCCTGATCTTGGGGACCTGGACGACGAAGAGGAAGCCTGGGAAGAAGAAGCGTGCACTATTCGGCCTAGGAGGCTGAAACGCAAATTTCTCTTTCACACTGACGACCAGAGGAAAAAGAAATTTGCCCCCAAAATGGATGTTGATGGTCTGCTGGATCCAGAGAACAAACGGAACTCCCTCACCAATCGCAATGGAGTTCATAAGTCTCCTGGAATCAACAATACCAAGGTGGGAAATGCTGGTGCCAGGAAGTTGGTGATTCGCAATTTTAAAGGTGAGTATTCACTTCTCTTCAATCATTCATATTGAGCATGGCTAGGTCTGACTCTATTTATAGGCTTTCAAAGTTGGTAAGTAAACAAGGATTGAGTTCTCGTTGAATTCATTCCTTGCTTCCACAGTGGATCTTCCAATTGTTAGGTTTAATTTTTGCTTTCTTTCTTTGTTAAAATCTTGTATGAATTGTCACATGTTAAGCATACAGAGGTTAAGAGGTTGTCAGGTGCTCATGAAGTCCTTTCATGGATAGACAAACCAATGAAGCTGACTGATGACTACTTGGAGACAGCATGGAAGTCATTGTATGAAGCAGTAGTTGCCATCCAGCAGTCTAAGCCAGTGTCAACCAGCAAGGAGCAACTGTATGAGGTTGTGGAAAATCTCTGCAAATTCAAGATGGCTCCCCAGGTCTACGAGAAACTTCTGCACTTGGCAGAAGTTCATGTCTCTGGCAGTGCTGAGCGTTTCCTCCAGTATCCTTTATATCTGCTACTCTATAGAAATGTCATACAGGTAATTTCTGATAACTGTTGAAGGTCTTCATTTTATTTTTGGAAGAAGCAGAGTGTCATAATACAGTTTCATGAAGATAACCATGGATTTCCTCTAAATATATCAGTAGCACTTGTAGGTTCTTTCATAGCCTCATATGTCCATACAGGTATGGGGGAGAGAAAGCAACACCAGGTGGCCCCAAAAAAAAAGTATCCTGTTTGTAACTTCATTAAACCTGCTGTGGTTCATCTAGGATCAGTGAATCATCCCCCTTGATGCCATAAAGGCTGCTTTTTATGCTGGTTCTCATTGTATTATTCTGTGTAGCATTGATTCTGATGCTACGACGTATGACAGTAGTACTATTCTACAACGTGTAGAATACTGTGACAAGAACATGGCATAAAAAGCAGTCTTTGTGGTGTCAAGTGATAGAAATCATTCAAGCAGGGCTGAAACTCCATCCACCTCATGCATGGAAAGGATACATTTTATGACTACACTTTGAACTATCGATTTTTATTCAGACAACCCAGATACATGAAACTTTCAGAGTAAAAATTTTGTGGTGCTTCTGTGATACACAAACATTATGAACCAAGATGATCCAAAGTGGGTTTCATAAATCATGAAGCAGGACATGTTTTTTTTTAGGCCACCTATATGGAAGCTTCCCCTGCTGTGTCCTTCCTTTTAATGACTTTTTAGCTATTTTTTCTCTTACTTCCTTCTTGACTTTTTTTTTCTTTGAAATTGAAGGAAGGATGAATACCACTAATTTTTAAGATAGGGATGCAGGGGAGAGAAAAATATAGACCTGGATGACTATTCCTGCGGGGTGGGAGGGACTACAACATTCTGTATTGCCCAGATTAATTCATATAGTTGGCAACACCACCTGGCCATCCTGTGGGTGGGGTGCACTGCACCTTTTCATCCACATGGCCTCTCAGGTCACAAGATCTCATAATTTGATGGATCTAGACATGGGGAATTTAAACTCATACCATGTTTTGTGACTCCCTCTTGGCTGACTGATCCAGGAGAATAAACAGGTAATGAGCATTGCTAGTTGTTGCTCATTGCATAAGATTTTGAAGTGGTACTTCATTCACAAAAAACTTAGGCAAGCAGTGTCATTTGGTGGTTCTGCCCTTTGCATGAAACACCTTGCTAAGGACTTGCTTAAGTGAGCTATTATGGATGTCATTTTGACTGTTTCAGATCAGGATTTCTCGTATGACCTTTAAAAAAATCCTTTGTGGTCTGGTTGTTCCAGAGTGGGATTTGCAGTCCACTCCCTCTGTAGAATTCCCAGTTTGCAACTGGAAATTGTGCAATTCCCAAGTTCCTCTCATACGACTCAATACAATTCCCTTTCATGCAACATTCATGTATGAAAGGAAGGCCATAGTAGAACAAGCTGGGCAACACCCAATCCAGTTGTAAACCATTTTTCACCTCACTATTACAAGGCTACAGGCAAAATTAAGGAAGATATTAAGACAAAAATGGGTGATGGAGAATGAAAGAGGATGCCTGAAGGTACTGTGCATAGTTTGGGCAAAGAAGGGGTTGACCATTCACTTCATTCTATGTTATTGGAGTTTCAAAATTTCCAAATAATTTTTTAATTAGATTACTTAATGGATATATTTTTTTTTCAATGAAGTAAATGCCAATTTTATTTGTGCTATGCAAAAATGTGTGGAATTTGCAGTAGTATTTAGTAGTAGAATGTAGTAGTATTCCTGCAAATGATAATGGAAACTTTTTGCAGGTGTACACTTAAATACATCCAGGTGGTTATGTAAGATGCTTGATTTTTTTTCAAAGAAAGGAGACTTGCTAAAAGTTGGGAAATAGATTCCTTGACAGCATTGCAGAGAGACTGGAGATTCAGAGACATTGCTGCGCATCATGGACAAAGCTTGGCAGGCTCACTGCCAACAGATGATCATGATCCGCCATATCTTCCTCTATCTGGATCGCTCCTATGTCCTTCATACTGCCTCTGTTGCATCCATATGGTATAACTTTTCCCTGAACCTCTCTTGTAAGGCTAATCTAAATACTGATGGCTGTGGTATTGTTATAAATGCATTGTCTTGTCATGACCCTCTCTGGTGGACCTATAATATTCTTGCATCAATTAGTTAATTCATAGTTGATATTTTGGTCATATTAAGCTGTCATTAATAAGTGCTAATGTTAGGCAAAAGTTCATATTAAAATTGTCACATTTGATTTTTTCTGTAGATGTTCAGCTGCATGAGATGTAGGAACAGACCTGCCAAGCAATATCAATGTGGCCTGTTGCATTTTTCACTGCCATAGCTTACATGTCTTCAGTATTGTCACTAAAATGGGTGGTTGGAAAGTAACTCCTGGTTTTAAAATTGCTATAGTTTTTGTACTTTTTGGACTTGAACAATGGTTTTTGTGCCAAAAGAAAGAGAATTCTATGAGGTTTTATAATTTCATTGATTTGTTTGCATTGACCCTCCATGGTGCCAAAATTAAATCTTCAACATCATGTGCAAGTAGCTGCATGGTATTAGGTGCGGAGGTGGAGGAGGATGTAAGGAGTTACATCCAAGGCATGTGCCTTCCACCACCACCTCTAGACCATAACTGAGGACCTTCACACTTCATACTGTGAAGCTATTTGCACATGGTGTAGAAGATTCATTTTTGACATGGGGAGTCAATGCAAACAAACAAATCAATGAAATTATAAAGCTTCATTGAATCCTATTTCTTTTGGCACAAGAAACCATTGTTCTAGTCTAAAAGTAATTACAATTTAAAAATGGAGTTACTTACCAACCATCCTGTAGAGTTCCTGAAATTGGTTTAGGTTCTTGCTGCTCTTGACATGAATTGGGTTTATCCTGGGAGGTACTGTCTTCTTTTTTACTTCAAGAACAGTAAAATGAAGTTCATAGCTGGATCTAGGCTGATATATGGGTTGTTTTACAGAAAATGAGGAGATGTCTGACAGCACTTAGTTGACAAAGGCATATCAGTGATTAGCCTATTCCCACACTGGTGGCCTTCTATTTCATTTCATTACTGCCTGTGCATAGCCAGTGTGCTGATTGACCATAGATGAACAAATGGAATGTTGAATGATTGCAGGGATATGGGATTGGATCTATTCCGTGTGCACATCATCTCCCATCCAAAGGTTCAGAGCCGAACTGTTTCGGGTCTCCTGCAGCTGATTGAGAAGGAAAGGGCTGGGGAGGTCGTTGATCGAACCCTCCTCAAGTCTCTTCTTCGAATGCTCTCTGATCTCCAGATCTACAGGGAAGCCTTCGAGCACAAGTTTGCAGCCCTTCAGATCTAATAGTATCTTTTATGTCTTTTCACCCATGAAATTTCCTAAATGGTTAAATTCTGATGTAGGTTCTTGGAGGCAACAGATGAGTTGTATGCTGTGGAAGGGCATCAATTGGTTGAAGAACTGGATGTCCCAGCTTACTTGACCCATGTTAAGCGCCGCCTCAAGGAGGAAGATGAACGCCTCCTACACTACCTGGATTCTAGCACTCGGTAAATTCTTGCTTGAATCAGCTCTTTCTCTTTGCGGGAGATATGAATCAGGAATACCTGTGGTTTTTATGGAAAAGATTGCCATTGATATCGTGTGTGGAGCGGCAGCTGATTGGTGAGCACTTGACACAATTGATTCAGAAGGGTCTAGAGATCCTGCTGGAAGATGAGCGTCTTGGGGACCTTAGTCTCATGTACACACTTTTTGCCCGTGTCAAGGAGGGACTTAAGGAACTCTGCACTGCTTTTGCTGCATACATTAAGGTATGTTAACAATTAGAGCCCAGAGCTTTTTTCTTTCCAGAGATATGGTAAAATGTTGGTTATGGTCTGACCCTTCCACCTTGGTTGAACAGAAAAAGGGCAGGACGATTGTAAATCCGAGTGATGCTGAGGGAGACCGAACCATGGTTCAGGAACTGCTTGACTTCAAAGATTGCATGGACTCTGTTGTTGAGGTCTGCTTCCATCAGAATGAAAAGTTTGTTAATTCTGTCAAAGAGGCATTTGAGTGCTTCATCAACCAGAGGCAGAACAAGCCTGCTGAACTAATCGGTATGTCAGTGTTTTTTCTTTCTCTTTGAATTGTGTCTGCTAAAGGTAGTCTGGGCATTTTTGACATTGCAGCTAAGTTCCTGGATAGCAAGCTAAAAGCAGGGAATAAAGAAGCAACAGAAGAGGAGCTGGAGCGTCTCCTTGATAAGGTCATGGTGCTCTTTCGTTTCATCCATGGAAAAGATGTCTTTGAGGCCTTCTACAAGAAGGTCTGTTTGATTCCATTGATTAATCTTCAAATTCTTGTCATATGATGACTTTCTTGAAAGAGTGGTTCCTTTCCTTTTGGTGGCCAGGATCTAGCCAAGCGGCTGCTGGTGGGCAAGTCTGCATCAGTGGATGCTGAGAAGAGCATGCTGTCAAAGTTAAAGCAAGAGTGTGGTGGTGGGTTTACATGCAAACTTGAGGGCATGTTCAAGGATATGGAACTCTCCAAGGACATAATGCTTGCCTTCAAGCAGGTAGGCTATTGTAGATGCAGAACTATTAGCCCAGCTATCCCCCAAGTGACAGGAATTTAATGGCTCCCCATCCTAATGTGGAGTGGTTCTGATAATATGATGCATTCTTCCACAGGGTGTTCTATAAAATCTTATTGGCATTTTACTTGTAATTGTTATCTGAACCTGACATGACATTTCAAACATGCATGCTTGAAGTGTTGCCCAGTGAGACTACCACAATAACAGCAGCACCTTTGCTGAAGATACCTAATATTTCTAAGACTGCAGGGTATTATCATGTGTTATATATCTCAGTTGGTGGTGCATCCTTGGACAGGGGTTGTGCTAGGTTTCTTGCCATAGGGGTCCCTGGGACCCTCTGGTCTGATATGGAAGGGTCCCCTGATAATTAAAGGGGTTACTTTCCAAGTGTGCTATAGTTCTGGAATCTGGGAGGGGAATCTGGAAGGGTTCCCCAAAAGGAAAAGTCCAGCAATCCTTGTGTATTTGCCGACTTAACACTACCAAGCAGTATGATATTCAATCCAGCAGTCTTGGGCCTTCTGCCTATGTGCCTCTCTATCCCGGGGGTCCCAGGACCCCCAGGATGTATGAGCAGGAGACCAGGGCAAGAGTCCAAGTGCAACCCCTGTTGGACATTGTTACTATCAAAGGGTTCAATGAACCCTCAAAGGAATCTGATCCCTGGGGAAATTTGTGATAGTGTTGACGGAGAATAATGGTTAAGTCAGGTCTTCTAGTCTCTTTGATCCTGACTCATACAATAGTTCAGATTGAAAATACCTGAATTGCATGGAGTGATGTTTATCATCTATGCATCTTGGCTCTTTCTCAGGCTCAACAAATATGGAAAGTAATAGTCTCCAATTTATTAGCGCTACACTCCTTTTCTTTGCAGCATGTGAGCAACATGAAGAATGTCCCAGGGCTGGATTTGAATGTGAGCATTCTGACAATGGGGTACTGGCCAACATATCAACCATGTGAGGTCACTCTCCTCCCGGCCATGGTCACCTACCAGAATATCTTCAATAAGTTTTACCTGGCCAAGCATTCAGGAAGAAAGCTCCAGTGGCAGCCTACACTTGGCCATTGTGTTCTCAAGGCTTACTTCCCACAGGTCTACCTTATTACTTATTATCACTTATTGAATCAGACTTACTAGGCTACTGCTTTGTGTTATAAAATTATATTTTGGCATGGTTACAAAAAAAAAACTATAAAATATTTAGAAGTTTTGAGTTGAATTATTGTTCCAATTTCAATGCAGAGAGGTACACTGGGGAAATTGAAAATATAAATGAAAAAAGAAAGGACTCAATGTAAATGTGCAAAGTGTACTGCTTGTTCTTGGAAAATTATTTTGTCAAATGATGAGAGATAGCTCTACCTGTTGGGTTTTCCGAAACTCATTTTATTAAGGGAAAATATCTGACTGTCAGTATGTACTGGATACAAGAGCAATTCATTGGGATAGGGATTCAACTGGAGTGTTAGGTTTTTCCTGTTAGCCTGATGAATAGATGTGCAATACCTCTGTCCAAGTTTCATACTTAACTTCCTTTTGAGGCACAATTTCTTTTACTCATGGTATCCCTCTTAACATCCAGATGTGAAGTTGCTGCCAGAATTATGTTCCTCCCTATCCTATACTTTTCTTTTAGACTTCAGCTTTCTTCATATGCCCTTGGAAACCATGAAGGCCCATTTTGGCCTATGTGTTTGGTTCCTTCTCTTTTCTCTTTTTCATTCATACTTTTATATAGTTACTTTGAAATTGTGAAAATGTATTCATTTAATTTTCCTTCCCACCCATATCTTGTGATTTGTAACTTTTCGGAACACTGCGCCATCAGCATATTAGATACCAGTAGTTCCAGTTCATGATCATGTGATTTGAGTTATTGAAAATTTTTAATGTACAACAAAATAAATAGAAATTACATTGAGCAGGTAGTCTTGTGGGGCAAGAATGGAGTGAGTGAGCTAAATTTAATAGGGATTTCACTCAATAGTCAGTTTTGAATGGCATATGCATGTTACAAGTGCACTCTGCCTTTCTGGTGTCTCTCACAATGTTGTCTGCTTTGCTTTGCTGGGTTCTTCTTCAAATACATGAAGAACCACAGCCCTCCACTCTACATTAAATCATCAATTTGTTGGCATTATGTTCAGGCTTGTAGTTTAAGGTTTAAAAGTGCATTCAAAAAGTTATGATCTTAAAAAGTTTGTCTGCCTTGGTAGAGAGAAATAGTAATTGTGTTAGGTTTTTTCTTGATGTGTTTGCTACATATCCTATATTTCTCATGTTAATCTGGTGGTATATTATGTAAAGAGTAATTAATGCTGATTTTTTGCTTCAGGTGCATGTTGAAAATGACTTGAAAAATGACAAAAGAAAAACAAAGGGCTGTAATTATCTTTGTGTCTTTACTGGCAAAGAAAAAACAGTGGACATTTGCAATGTATTGGTAGATACTCTTCAACAGTATTTCAATGTGCCCCCAATAACTTCAATTAATGCACAAATTTGTGTGAGCAAATTTTCTAATGAGATTGCTTTGGGTTAGCAATTTCCTAGTAAGGGGAACATACCCACAAAAAAAAAGTTTCTGCTGCTTTCCAAAAGTGGATCTAAAGATGCAATCTGAATGGTGACATGTCTGGAGACTATTCCAAAATAAGAGTTAACATTGAACAGTGACATTATTATTGAATAGTTGTCCATGGAAAAAATTTACAATCAGATCTTGTTGAGCTACTATGGTCATTCCTTTAGATTGTTCAGCTTCTCTTTTTAAACTTGTATGCTACCCTCTTGCTCCAGCAAAGATACAGACAAAATAGAAAAACTCCCCCACTTGAAGCCACTTTAAGTAGCAGTTCAAACTGGAATTATTCTCATGATGTTTCCAAGATTGAAATTTCAATTTCATTTTGCCAAAGTAAAGCTATGAACCTTATTTTTTCAACTATGTTGGATATGGAAAATTGACAGGAGTGAGCGCTGATAGTTAAGTAGATCAAAATATAAAAAAAAGAGATTTCATGAGCCCACCTTTGCTGCCCCATATGCTTCAATCAAGGCACACCAGAATGCCTTTGTTTCCATGAAGCAGATGACATCATTCAAAGTTGGTCAAATTTGTACTGAATATGCCTTTGTGTGATATGTCTCTCCCTAAATGAAAACATACAGGGTGGGCCAGAAGTAAGGAAACATGTTTGAACTCTAACAAAACTTATATGGAAAAGCAATCAAACTAAACAATGGTACACACATAAACACATGTTTATGAAGTATTCAAAGCCATAAATATTTTCATGAAAATTGTTGTGCGTCAACTGTTAAAGTTTTTTTTTACAAGTACAGTCTTACAGGTAGTAATTGGCAAACTCGCTGGCATGATTCCACTGGCAATCTCCACATTGTGACAACAATAGGATCTCTGAGTGCAGAAGAGTCCTAGGGTTCATCTCATGCACAATGCTTTAGATTGGACTGCAGAAAAATAAGTCAGCTGGAGTCAAATCCAGAGACCATGCTGATCAAGCAGGCGGAATGAGCCGGAGCCCTATCTTGCATGAAGATTTATTTCAATTCATTTCAGATGCCATGGTAGATGATTTTTCTATTCAGCTTTTTGTGATAGCAGTCTGCCATGTTTATTCACAATAGTGCTTCGACCCATCATGCTCACCTCATTTGCGATTTCTCGGACGAAGATTGTCTGGCCAGCAGATCAGGCGGCTTGGGCCAATTGATTCACCAGCATGGTCTCTGGATTTGACTCCAGCTGACTTATTTTTTTGCAGTCCAATCTAAGGCATTGTGCATGAGAGGAACCCTAGGACTCTTCTGCACTCAGAGATCCTATTGTTGTCACAATGTGGAGATTGCCAGTGGAATCATGCCAGCGAGTTTGCCAATTACTACCTGTAAGACTGTACTTGTAAAAAAAAACTTTGACAGTTGACACATACAACAATTTTCATGAAAATATTTATGGCTTTGAATACTTCATAAACATGTTTTTGTGTTTACCACTGTTTAGTTCGATTGCTTTTCCATAAAAGTTTTGTTAGAGTTCAAATGTGTTTCCTTACTTCTGGCCCACCCTGTACATCCAAAGTTTCAATAGTTTCTGCAACAACTAATATCAATCTCATCTTTGAAATGCTCCCAAAACCATTTTAAAATGTGCAGGATTGGTGATTATATTCATCTGACATTCAAGGAAATAGTCCCACCCACAAACTGAAAAGCTCAGGAATAGAAATGTATGGATGAAAACATCTGAAAAAGAGCAATGTGCAACCATCTTCCACCAAAAAAAAGACTAATAACTTTCATAATCCAATAATGTGAAGGTTTCAGTGATGGGTGAGTTGGAATGGAATGATATATATTGTTTTTTTTTCTTCAAAATTTGTCACTTACGATGTTACAGAATGTACCATAACAGATGAGGTCACTGCACATGATCTGTGTGGAATTTTCTTATAGGGAAACAAAGACCTGCAGGTATCTCTGCTCCAGGCGCTCTGCCTTCTCCTATTTAATGAGACTGAAGAGATTGGACTTGAAGAGTTCAAGCAGGAGACCAATATTGAGGTATGCATAACTTTACTAGAATATGTGCCTTGATGTGAACATGATTGAGATGATGAAAGCATCATTGCATACAACTGGGGAAAAGGATGGGGAGCTGCGTCGGACGCTGCAGTCACTTGCATGTGGGAAAGTGCGTGTCCTGCAGAAGATCCCACGTGGAAGGGATGTTGAAGATGGTGACAAATTTGTCTTCAATAAGGCCTTCACAAACAAGCTCTGCCGCATCAAGATCAACCAGATTCAGATGAAGGAGACTGTGAGCATTTCCCATTCCAGCATCAGGGACATTTAAAAATATCACATTCCCATCTTAATGATATTTTCCCCATTTTCTGCAGACGGAGGAAAACGAGAGTACCCATGAGCGGGTGTTCCAGGACCGCCAGTACCAGATTGATGCGGCAATTGTACGCATCATGAAGACACGCAAGACCCTCAGCCACAACCTTCTTCTCCTCGAACTCTATGACCAGCTCAAGTTCCCTGTCATGGTATGGATATAATTTTTTCATACATTACCTCATCCCATTGTTTTGACTTTTTTCTTCAAATGGGTCAAGGAGAGATGATGCTATTCCTAATCTAAAAAGTATACAATATCAATTTTCAACTGAGGATGAATGATTTCTTAATTTTTTAAATTTCTTTTTGGATTGCTTTTGACCCTCTTCTGGTCTTGGGTTTTGAATTACTATTAGCCCATGAAAGGTATTAGTTGGTGTCTTAATTACTTGTGGAAATTGGAATACCATAATTGAAGCTTTAAAATGTGATGAAATCATAAGGAGTATACTAAATCTTGAAAACAATCCAAAGGAGCACCTAAGAATTTGGCAATGCAGGATATGTAAAGCAAACTTCAGGCACACAAGAAAGGCTTCATTGCTGCATGACTGCTTGAGATATGCTTTATACATGGTGTTTCACCAAAATGTTTGCCATTTTGAATTACTGTAGCTTCTCTATTATAATGAGCATTCACTTCAAGCCAAAACGAAATCACAGAGAAACTAAAAAATTTTCATTCTAGTGGAAAATCAAGTTTGAAATGAGCACTTTCAGCCACAGAACAGGGTTGAAGATGCCAAGGGAGGTTTTGTACTGCTGGCTTCAATACTTCCTGTTGAATGCCTTGAACTACCTGTTGACTTGTTCCCTTAAGTCCTGCAATATCTGGCTAGTCCTGAAGGCTTCATTCTTGTATCCCCACAAGTAAAAGTTGAGTGGACAGAGATTTGGGGATCATGCTGGCTGCTCAATGTCATCTCGCTGAGAAGTGAGCCACCAAGTGAATCTCTCTCTCAGTCACTCTAGACAATCATGGGCAGTATGGCAGGTTTCTGCATCTTGGTGGAAAAAAATATTAATTTGTGATGCACTTTCTGCCAGTGGGGGGGGGGGGGGGGACATACAGTAAGAATGAAGCCTTCAGGACAGGCCAGACATTGCAGAACTCAAGGGAACAAGTCAATGGGCAGTTCATTGTGTTCCACAGGAAGTACTGAAGGCAGAAGCCTTGGCATTTTCAAACCTGTTCTGCTGCTAGAGGTGCTTGTTTTGAACTTGTTTTCCACTAGGACAAAAAATTTTCAGTTTCTCTGTGATTTTGTTTTTGTTTGAAGTGAATGCTCATTATAATGAAGAAGTAATAGCAATTCAAAATGGTAAACATTTTGGTGAAACACCCTGTAGAGTATCCTTTCAAGTTGGATTGTTAGTCCCCTGAAGCATCAGCTGATTAAGGGCAAATGAGGGTGACAATAGGGGAGTTTAGAGTTTAGTTGAGATATGCTTCACTTGAGAGGAAGAGCAACTTGACCAGCATCTAGTAGTGGGACTGCATGCCTCCTCAGGCCTGCAAATGCAAAATGAAGGTTGGGTGGGTTGAAAGGAAAAGAGTGGAGCAGGATGGCACTGAATTCATCCTTACCTCCCTTTTCCCCCTATTTCATCACGGCTTTCTCTCCTCCCAGACTGCAACCTAACTTTTAACATCTCCGCTTCTTTATCTCTTCACCTGTGATATGAACAGATATTCTATATCAATCATTTTGTTCTTCAAGTTTCTTTGCTTTTATTTAACTCTCAAGTAGGGATGGGCAGCCAATTGACCACCTTTTAATTGACTTATTGACTGCTCGTTTTTTAATTCAATGAATTAGTACATTTTTGTAGAGCTCATTTATCTTCCAGCACTAAAACCAAAGAGCCAGTTCCATTTTAAATTTATATTCATGCAGCCCAGCCCATCAAACATCTGGACTGTGGCACCCATTGGGTAAGAAAATATTGTAGCTAATGCTCAAACTACCATAATCTCTCACCTGAGTGGTATAGAGCATGTGCACAGGTATAGCCTGCTGTTCAAGGTCTTACAGCCTTAAAGACCTTGAAAATTAAGATCCAAGATCTAAGTTACAGCTTTAGAACTAAGTTTAATGCAGGGTCTGTCATTCTCTTGGCCAATAGTCTACATTAGACCATCAAATTCTCAGAGTCTGAGATCAAGGGAAAGTAAACTTACTTGGATTATGCCTAGGTCTGTGCCTAAAAAATTAATCTAGCTATGAAGAACTTCCTTGAGCAAGGCAGAGGCTTTTTTTCTGACAATAACAAGAATAAGTACTTATACCAGAAACCAAGAAACTCCATTTCTGGACACTGTGTTGCATTCCTCATTATTCAGAGTACTTATGGAGCGAACTAGTCACAAAATTTATCTCTGAAACATGACTGATAATTGTTTAATGCTGCAACCCATCTGTATGATTAAGTCTATCTTAGTGATGAGATGTTGACTGGTCAACATGGCCATTTGTGATCATATACAGTCACAAGGCTTAACTTAATGCTCTTGTTGGACTTGTTGACCATGTTGACCTGTCAACCTCCCATGCCTAGTCCATCACTTGTGAGTCATGACATACAAAAGGAGCACAAACTGTGCAGGAAAAAACAAATAAAAGTTGGTCTTATTGACTGGTCAATAACCCATCCCTCTCAACACAAATATCTGTAAGTTTGAGAAAAAACAAAGTGCTTTTTCTCTGGACTTCATAATTCCAGAAGCTATCAAGAGATAGGATGGTTTTCTTTTTGCTTTTCTTTTTTTGTTTTTTTTTTTTTGCTTTTTCTACTCTGAAAGGTATGTGTACCTCAGATTCAAGGAAAGAATTGTAACACAGGAGAGCATTATTGTTTCAGTTCAAGACTGGTATTTACTTCACATTTTAATTCTGTTTTTCCATCCAGGCATCTGATATCAAGAAGCGAATTGAGTCTCTGATAGACCGGGACTACATGGAACGGGGACGGGATGACCCCAATGCATATAGCTACGTTGCATAACATCTCACCAAACCTTTTTCCCTCCCGGTCTCTCTCAGTTCTGCTACCCGTGGAGCTTTCCGGGCCAAATTGCAAGGAGTGGGGCAAAGGCCCGAAAAGGTGAGAAAGAGGCCGACAGAGACTTGTGCAAAACTCGAGTGAGCAAGATTGAAAATCTGAGAGTATGTGGGTGTGTGTTGCTTTTCTCCTTTAGGTGATATCTTCTTGCTTTGTGATGATGGTATTGACAAGCAAGACATTAAGAATACAATCATGTCTAGAAATAGATGAGTCCAACTTACTGCCCACTGCTATTTGGGAATTTCCAAATATGCTTCAGATGAGAAAATGGTTCCAAGTACAAGCACTACATTTGATAATGTTGCAGCATTGCATGTGAGCTTGAAGCAGCCAGAATGCAAGTGAAATTAGAGTTTTTCCATTCATAAGAATGTGAAAAGAAGCTGGATTTTATTTTTTTCCTCAAAGCATCACAACCTCCAGGACAAGTTCAACTAAAAAATATGCACTTCAGTACTAAGGAAGAATTGGTGATAAAGCTCTCAGGGGATTGTCAAGCAAAGTGAAGACATTTCGTTGTACACTTGGTGGAGAAAATATCTGACATAATATCATAAATTAGAATTGGGAAATGAAGAATGGCAATTTTGATCCGTTTCAACGGAATGCATTCAGCTGGCCAAGAATGCCCTAATGAGGATGCAATCACAGCAAGGATTCAGCCAAGGACGAACAGAAGCAATCATCAAATCATCTCATCAAATGCATGTAGGGAAGACTGGATAACTTGGAGGTGCAGCACACAGACCAGCTGTGCATCAGAACGTCATGAGGCTGATATGTGTGAACAAGACAGTTGGTGAATGGTGATGCATCAAGTGGAGCGGGGCTTGATTGCATGCATCTTGAGGAGGGCTGCCACTGTCCCAGCAACCTTGATGGGGCCCTTGCATTCCAAGATGTCTGATGCTGAACATAACTGGTCCTGCAAAAAGAAAAAAACGTTCTGACTGTTATTTTCCCATGCACAGCTTCAAGATGAAGTGGTAGATGGTCAGAAAGGACTCACAGGTGTTCCTCAGTGTGCATTAGGAACATTACCAAGAAAATGAAAATGGCAGTAAGTACTTTCCTAAAAAATTTTCATGCAAAAATGAAAGTGCCAACACCTACATGAAACCATAAAGGCTCTAATGTTGCAATGAAACTTCAAAACAAAGCAATAGGGATATGAATGAATCATGCCTTTATTCATTTAGGCATTGAAGAATAGGAATGAAGGCATAATCACAGGAACATGGAGACTTTGGACACACATTCAATGATAAGAAAAAAATAGGTGAGCACAAAATGGAGAAATGAATATTGACTATTAAAAAAAAAAGAAAAAGAGCACCTTTCAATCTGCACAGATCTGGGCAATATCACACACGTTCATTTGGTAGAAAAATAGCATTATCTACATCACAAAAGGAAGCATGGATAGCAGCCAATATTCAATGAAAGTACCAAAGAGGAAGGAATCATTCAAACTTGTCGACTAGAAATTACACACAGTGAGGTTTATATGTGACCCGGGTGAAGCAAGAGAGGGTATACACATACCCTAGACATATTGATATGTATAAGTGTCCCAAATAAACATGCAATAAGCTTGATCAATAGATTCTCACATGATACATTTTGTTCAAAGCTGCCTAGTGAGAAGCTGAAAGTTATGCTCTTGACATTGATTCAAACTTTGTAGCTCACAAAAACGTATGCCTTTCCTCTCCGTGCTGCCTTGAGTAACTCTAAGAGAAAATTTGGATCTGTGAAATGATGTCATTGTTCCAAGTGTCTAATGTTTTTTGGGGACACTAGATATAACCAATATGTTAGATTATTTCATCTTGGTGGTTCTACAGCACAAGTCAATTCTGGCACCTTCATGTCAAGATAATGAGGACTTGATCTGGCTTAATAACATGAAAAATTGAATGCCTCCCTTGTGGGACATCAAAAGTTTATGACTTGTTATGGAAGGCTGAGAGTTTGAAGAAGTCCATTACTGCACAAGATAGTTTTATGAGCACACCAAGTGTGTGAGTGCCATCATTTTCTGATGCTACCTTTCCATATTCATATCTTGATCTGAGCCTACATAATCAAGAGGGTCAAATTCAACCAAGCTGAAGAGTGTTATGAAAAATATCTCATTTAGGCTGATTGAATATTTCACAAAATGTGAATCATGTCCTGAGCAAACATTGCTCCAGAGCTCCAAATATATCTATCTTGAAGCTTCAGTTTTAATTTTTCAATGTTCACCATCATCAGCATTCAGATCAAGAAAATGATGAGAGTCAGGAAGTGATGACAGAAAGGCACCAGAAAGTGATCACATTTACACTTGGTGTTAACAAGATTACTGTGAACAGCGATATTGTATTTCCAATGCTCCTCTTTCTTCCATATAAACCCAAACACTTAGATTGCCAGTGAAAAGATACATTTAAAAAATGAAGAGCAACTTTGCTTTTCTAAATTCCTAGTGATACAAGTCCTTATATACAGGTCGCCAGAAATCAACTATAACACCACAAAATATAGGGCAGTAAAGAAAGCAATCAAGAAATTCTGGCACTGCTTTTAAAGCATACCAGGAATAGTCAAGGGTGCACAATGAATTTTCACTCCTTGCTGCACTGGTGATTTTTTGTGGGGTTGATTCCCCAGAAAAAGAAACTGAATGGGGATGAACATTTTTGGGTGAAACAAGTGCAGCAAGGAATCCTCATGAGGATATAAAGTAGAGGAGTGCACAAACAACAAAAAAGGAGGCTGCAAGGAAGGATGCTAATGATCGCTCATCGTGCATCTCACTCTCTCCATGAGACAAAAGAGATGGTCCAATGGGGTGTGAATTTGACTCAGACCAGAAGATGAGATGTTCCAAGAGAAGAAGCAGCTGGGGTGGGAGATCCTCTTCAGGGAACAGGATGTCATCCGCATGAAAGTCCTGCTTGGGGGAGGACAACCCCCAAGCTCAGTTTACATCAGATCCCAGTGGAGACAGGATCCACAAAACTTTAAGATCTCACATAGGCTTAACATTCATTTTTCCCATTGAGCAACAGATGATGTTTGAAATAGAATTCACTTGGCTTTTCCTACTTTTTCCCTAAGTCAGAGACAGTCAACAAATTTTAAAATAGCCAATTATGGAGAAGCACTCAATCAAAAAGGCTACACAACTAGTTTTGCCTCGGGGATGGTGTATTGAATGACTGACATCAATATTCACAATTGGAATTCACTTCTGACATTACTGCTGCTTAAAAAAAGGAGAAGACATTCTTTGTAGAAGTGCAGAGAGAATGAAACATTGTGAAGGATTCTTTGAAAGTCAAGTTAATTCTTGTTAATCTGGCTGTTGGGACCAGCAATTTTGTCTGCACTAAGGGATTGTCCAGGCCAGGGATCAACAACCATTCACTAATTGCAGGTCAGATTAACACAGCTCAGCCCTATGCCAGGCTGGAGTGTATAATTGATTGCAGTGCTAATCTTTTCAGAGGAGGGAGTATGAGGTTTTGAAAATAATAAATGAAATCTATAAAAAAAATTTCTTGGTGTGCTTAGCAGGTCAGCTGAAATCTCTTTGTGGGCTGTAGGTTGCTGACCTCTGCTCCAGGCTGTTGAAAATCTGACCTCACGACCACTCACATTTTCCTGGAGTAGAGAGTCACAGACTTAACTGTAGAACATCTTTCCTTTAAGTATATTCCTTTTTCTTTCAATAGGTGCACAGGTATCCATTTTTTGAACCAAATAAATCCTAAATATATTTTTGTTTTTCCCCATACAAAAAAAAATTTGGCATGAAATTCATTGCATTCTGCCAAAACAGCAGGGTGGTGCTTCTTTAAATCCCTCAGCTGAGGTGTCCTTGCTCTGGGGTATCAAATGCTTCATCCTTTCCCTAATTGCTCATACAAGCTTGTGGAAGACAGAAACTTTTCCAAGCAAAGTGCAAAGACTGGATGTGATCAAGGGGAACATGAGGACAATTATAAAATGAGAGGAGAAGCCATCAATGGAAAGAGGACGGGCATTACATTTACCCTACCAGATTTTTTGTCCCAGAACTCTGATTCCAGAAAACAGGGATTTATGAGAGGAGACATTTTATGTTTTATTTCTAAAGATAACAAACATTTTAAAGATGATTATGATTATTATTATTAATTTTCACTTTCATTTTTACTGAAGCATGCATGCCTTGGAGAGGATGAAAAATTATCATTTTTTCCCAATGGCCTTCACACACCATCTCTTCTCTCACACATGGAAGTAAATATAACTTTCCAAAAAAAAAAATGGAGGCAAGAAAAGGAGAAGGCATTTGTCTGAACAGATCCCAAGCCTCAAGGCTGTCTGGCCTATTTTGGCTCTGGTCTCATGCTTTCCCTATGACCTTGTCTCATTCCTCTTCTTGCTAGAGCACAAATTCATTCCAGGTATTTCTTTCTGAGCTTCCTGCTCTGATTGGTCATAATCAAGAAGTTATTTTCCTATTTGATAATGCCAGGGCTCACCCAGAATGCTCTACCATCTAACAATCATTCTCTGAAATTCTTGCCACCATACAGTACCTTTCTCAATGCCATCGAGCATACATTCTCTGGATTTAGAGAAGAAATGAAGAGAAATCAGAGCAGTAGACAGGTTACCATTTGCAACAGGACTCCAGCTGCTGCTCAGAGCATGACAATGCCACAATACAGAACTTGTACATTGACAGCATTTCCTGTGTACACCCATGACTACTGTTGTCAATGTTCCAAGCATACCATTGAGGTATTGAACTAACCACAATGAGAGCCCCTAGTATAATGATCCAAAGCTCCAATAAGTAAATTTTCCCCAATTTCAGCTCTCTAAGCCTTCCTGCTATGTCAAAGCCTGTAGCTTCATTCATTTTTTTTACTGTCAATAATGAAAAATTCAGAAGGCATGTAAAAGGCATGAGAGCTTCAATGGAGGGAGAGTAAAAGCAAGAGTAGGTAAAGTGTAGTTCCATCCTAATAGGGGTGCAGGATTCCAGGCAATTTTAGTTTTCCTGGTCAAGGATACCCCACCTCCCAGGTTTATATGATTTTTTAATGATGTAATAATAACCCTTTCATGGACAATTTTTTATCTGGGAATCTTGCCATTTCTTGTTTTTTTTTTAATTATTAAATAAATTAAACAGAAACAAATAAATATTCTATTGGTAGCTTTTGTGGGACAAGGGACAATTTATGACCAATATCAGATTTCCATTGCTATCAACTGGTATTGGTGGGAAGTATGATTCCCATGGCCCTTGAAAGAGTTAATGTGATTGATAATGACCCATGGGACTGAAGTATGTGCCTATATTAAATGAGAACTACAGAGCAGAGCCATTTGGGTTATACAATGAACTTCATGAGGTTTTGCTAGGACTTTAATTAGTCTGTACAGGGTGATCATAAAGTCCCAATCTATTTTATTTTTAAACTCAAAATTCTAACAAAAATGCATAATGTGCACTTCACATTGTCAATAATGAACTAAATAAAACTGGTAATAGTTAATTAAAGATCAGTTAACATTTTTAAATACTAATGTTTCACATGAACACCTTCCAAATCGATACATAACTGGAATCTATCTGTTGTTTCGCTGAACATTCAGCATGTCAGTGGTTACAATGTTAACAGCAGCATAGATACGATCTCTTAAATCTTCAGCATTGAGAACCTTTGTGCTGTAAACCTTTGACTTAATGTACCCCATGCAAAAAATCCAAGGGGGTTATGTCAGGTTACCCTGAAGCCAACATTCTGTTTGATCCTCGGTCAATCCAATGGTTTGGGAACTTCTCATTAGATAATCTAGCACAATGTTTGCGAAATGAAATTTGGGCTTCAAGATCCCCTGAGCTAACCACCTTTGGCTTTTTTTGAATGGGGGTACATTAAGTCAAAGGTTTACAGCACAAAGGTTCTCAATGTTGAAGATTTAAGAGATCGTATCTATGCTGCTGTTAACACCATACATGCTGAACAACCTGAATGCTCAGGGAAACAATGCATCAATTCCAGTTTGTATGTATTTGAAAGGTGATCATGTGGAACTTCAGTAATTAAAAAAATTTAATAACTGATTTTTATTTACTATCACCAGTTTTATTTAGTTCCTTATTGGCAATGTGAAGAGCACATTATGCACTTTGTAAGAATTTTGAGTTTAACAATATTGGGACTTTATGGTCACCCTGTATTAAGGAAAGTGCTGAATCATGTCCAGATGAAGAAGAGTTGGCTTTGACTGTAGACGATTGTTGTAGAAGTGCCCAGAACCATAACTAGGGAGTGGATTTTTATGCACTATTAAGTCCTGAAATATGTACATAAATATGTGCTTAAGATGATAGAATATGCATGAAAGTGGGAAAATATGCAAATACATGTTTTTACAACCCAGAATGAATTCTTTAGAAGGAATTACATACAATGTACATTTCATATCACTGAGCCTCCCCATCCCCCAGAGTGGAGTTAAGGGAAAGCTTTGAGATAACATCAGGTGCCTACCAGGCATAGTTGGTCTATTCTTGTTACAGCACATGACTGCTGGAAAATTGTATATTTTCCCATAGGAAATGAGTGAAATACGTGTAACTACGAGGGTATTTCAGAAAGTCCGACTAGTCGGTCAAAAGTCGTCGTCGGAGACGGTCGTCAATTTTTCTGGGTGTTCTTCATTTATCGAAAAGCTTATTCCCCGAGTTTCATTATTTTAGGAAACG